CTTTGATGTGAAGATAACGTTCCATTTGTGTATACAGGTTTCAGATGTCTATAAAATCTTAGCTTACCGACATCAACAGAGAGATTGTAAAGAAAGGTTTGGATATACATGTCAGAGAGTCCACTTCTAAGTAATGTACATATGTGTTGCTTATCGAGATCGATGTTGTCGTTATGCCAGATATATGAGAAACCACTGCGGTCAAGTATTTCTTTCACATGGTGTAGCACAGTTTTCTTGTGACCAAGCATTAACATATGTTTTTGAGATAGTAAAGCGTCGACTTGTAGGGGATGTGTATTAGCGTCTAGTTGCCTCAGTCTTAGCCAATACTTGACTAGGCGTACAGATACGTCTGTGTCTAGTGATAGTCTACCGAGCCCTGCTTTGCATGCTCCGTTGCTAGCGTTTCTGTGTACCCCAAGAATGTTTTTACAGAAGCGATTATGGACAGATAATTAGATTACGCCACTTATGGAAAGGATAACTAGATTACGCCGTTTTTTCATCGTCAATATTTGCGGCATAAATGAGGGGCGATAAGGACACCAAGAAGGGCAATGGTCGGTAAGATACCAAAGAACACAAAACGGTACGAATTTTTCTTATCGCCCCCGAGATGAGGTCTGTAACGTAACTTTTTGTTTAAAACATAGATACCAATGGAGTAGCGTGGTGTATTCTGGGATAGTTTTGAGGGTATTTGGAGAGTTTGTCCTGGATTCGATGCGTTTTAAGACTTGCGCGCAAAATGGGCATTTAATGGTATACTGTAAAATAATATGCATTTTTCACTTCCAAAAATAAATGCCTGTCAAAATATAGCACCCTCTTCTGGAGGTTAGTACTCCTTTAAAGCTTGTGGCAATGTTAAAGGTTTGGAAGATCCATCGGAGTTTATTGGATATTCTTTGGATATACGGAATAGTGATGTTGACCTTGTTTCTGTTGGGCAATGGTTTGCACTTCTGTGTTTTCTTGAACTGAGCAAAACGTTCGAGAGCTTTGTTGAAAGTCCATCTCGGAGGTTTCTATGTTTGTTTTAGCTTTGTGATGATGTTGTCTGCCCGATGGAAGAGAGATTTAATCACTGTTAGTGTGTGTTTCAAAGGGGGTAGGGAATTTAAGGCCTGGTATTGATCAGTGTGGGTCGGTTCCCGGTATACTTCAAAGCGAAGGTTACCATCTTTCCCCACGATAGTTTTCGTGTCTATGAAGAGAAGCGTGTTGTCATAACTCAGCTCCTGTGTGAACTTGATGTTTTCATCTATGTCGTCAACGTGATCGAAGCATTCTTTTTTAATCTGTACCAAGTGTCGTCTACATCTTGACAGACAACACTTAACCCTACCTAGACCGGGCTTTTTTTGACATGGGGGGGACCGGGGGGG